AATCTCAAAAAAAATTGATCCAAAATCTTTGACGGATTTCGAGAAAATTGAGTTTGAAAATTTTGAAATTAAAATCCAAAGGGGTTTAACCCTTTGAAAAAATCGAAATTTTTGTTTTTCAGATTTTTTGAATTTTGACTTTTCCAATCGATAGAGCTGGTCTAAATTAGTCGAAAAAAACTCTAACATCATTACAAAATCTTGATTTCAACACAGAGAAAAATTAAAAAGAAAATCTCAATTTTTGGGTTTAAATTTTTTTTGAATCCTGACAAGGTTTGGAGGAATTGCCAATACTTCTATTAAATTTTGAGCAAATTGAAATAAATTATATATGATTGGAAAGAGCATCAAATTCTTTATAAATCAGTGCTAGATTGAGTTTGATAACTCGAATACTTTTAGAGCAATTGAGCCTCAAAGTGGGATTTTAGTTGAAATTTGGTCAAAAACTTCAAACTCGATTTTCTCAAAAACCGTAAATGTCAGCGACTTTAACTAAGTACCATTTTAAAGCCCTTGTCAAGGGCTACAATCTCAAAAAAAATTGATACAAAATTTTTGACGGTTTCGAGAAAATTGAGTTTGAAAATTTTGAAATTAAAATCCAAAGCGGTTTAACCCTTTGGAAAAATCGAAATTTTTATTTTCCAGCTTTCTGGAATTTTGACTTTCCCAATCGATAGAGCATATCTAAATTAGTCGAAAAAAACTCTAACATCATTTCCAAATCTCGATTTCAAAATTGAAAAAAAATCAAAAAGAAAATCTCAATTTTCAGGTTTAATATTTTTTTAAATCCTAACAAAGTTGCAATTGCCAATACTTCCATTAAATTTTGAGCAAATCAAAATAAATTATATATGATTGGAAAGAGCATCAAATTCTCTATAAATCGCTGCTAGATTGAGTTTGATAACTCGAATACTTTTAGAGCAATTGAGCCTCAAAGTGGGATTTTAGTTGAAATTTGGTCAAAAACTTCAAACTCGATTTTCTCAAAAACCGTAAATGTCAGCGACTTCAACTAAGTACCATTTTGAAGCCCTCATCAAGGACTACAATCTCAAAAAAAATTGATCCAAAATCTTTGACGGATCTCGAGAAAATTGAGTTTGAAAATTTTGAAATTAAAATCCAAAGGGGTTTCTCTTTGAAAAAATCGAAATTTTTGTTTTTCAGATTTTTTGAATTTTGACTTTTCCAATCGATAGAGCTGGTCTAAATTAGTCGAAAAAAACTCTAACATCATTACAAAATCTTGATTTCAACACAGAGAAAAATTAAAAAGAAAATCTCAATTTTTAGGTTTAAATTTTTTTTGAATCCTGACAAGGTTAGGAGGAATTGCCAATACTTCTATTAAATTTTGAGCAAATTGAAATAAATTATATATGATTGGAAAGAGCATCAAATTCTTTATAAATCAGTGCTAGATTGAGTTTGATAACTCCAATACATTTAGAGCAATTGAGCCTCAAAGTTGAATTTTAGTTGAAATTTAGTCAAAAACTTTAAACTCGATTTTCTCAAAAACCGTAAATGCCAGCGACTTTAACTAAGTACCATTTTAAAGCCCTTGTCAAGGGCTACAATCTCAAAAAAAATTGATCCAAAATCTTTGACGGATTTCGAGAAAATTGAGTTTGAAAATTTTGAAATTAAAATCCAAAGGGGTTTAACCCTTTGAAAAAATCGAAATTTTTGTTTTTCAGATTTTTTGAATTTTGACTTTTCCAATCGATAGAGCGGGTCTAAATTAGTCGAAAAAAACTCTAACATCATTACAAAATCTTGATTTCAACACAGAGAAAAATTAAAAAGAAAATCTCAATTTTTAGGTTTAAATTTTTTTTGAATCCTGACAAGGTTAGGAGGAATTGCCAATACTTCTATTAAATTTTGAGCAAATTAAAATAAATTATATATGGTTGGAAAGAGCATAAAATTCTTTATAAATCAGTGCTAGATTGAGTTTGATAACTTCAATACATTTAGAGCAATTGAGCCTCAAAGTTGGATTTTAGTTGAAATTTAGTCAAAAACTTTAAACTCGATTTTCTCAAAAACCGTAGATGCTAGCGACTTTAACTAAGTACCATTTTAAAGCCCTTGTCAAGGGCTACAATCTCAAAAAAAATTGATACAAAATTTTTGACGGGTTTCGAGAAAATTGAGTTTGAAAATTTTGAAATTAAAATCCAAAGCGGTTTAACCCTTTGAAAAAATCGAAATTTTTATTTTCCAGCTTTCTCGAATTTTGACTTTCCCAATCGATAGAGCATATCTAAATTAGTCGAAAAAAACTCTAACATCATTTCCAAATCTCGATTTCAAAAGTGAAAAAAAATCAAAAAGAAAATCTCAATTTTCAGGTTTAAATTTTTTTTAAATCCTAACAAAGTTGCAATTGCCAATACTTCCATTAAATTTTGAGCAAATCAAAATAAATTATATATGGTTGGAAAGAGCATCAAATTCTCTATAAATCGCTGCTAGATTGAGTTTGATAACTCGAATACTTTTAGAGCAATTGAGCCTCAAAGTTGGATTTTAGTTGAAATTTGGTCAAAAACTTCAAACTCGATTTTCTCAAAAACCGTAAATGTCAGCGACTTCAACTAAGTACCATTTTGAAGCCCTCATCAAGGGCTACAATCTCAAAAAGATTTGAAATTAAAATCCAAAGGGGTTTAACCCTTTGAAAGAATCGAAATTTTTATTTTTCAGATTTTTTGAATTTTGACTTTTTCAATCGATAGAGCGGATCTAAACTAGTTGAAAAAAACTCTAACTTCATTTGCAAATCTCGATTTCAAAGGAGAAAAAAAATCAAAAAGAAAATCTCAATTTTCAGATCTAAATTTTTTTGTAAATCTTGACAAGGTTAGGAGCAATTGCCAATACTTCCATTAAATTTCGAGCAAATCAAAATAAATTATATATGGTTGGAAAGAGCATTAAATTTTCTATAAATCAGTGCTAGATTGAGTTTGATAACGTAAATAATTTTAGAGCAATTGAGTCTCAAAATTGGATTTTAATCAACTTTCAAGATTTTTGGTGATTATTTTTTAAATCTGGTGATTTTTCATTTCAATTTCTGGTGAATTTAATTTTTTTGACCTGGCAACAGTGCTGGGACCACTGCTCTTCCTGATCTACATAAATGATTTGGATGGGGTGTGATCCCAGTTCTGACCTGATATTGTTCGCTGATGATACGACTCTGATTAGAAGGGCCAGGAATTTTGAAACACTCAGACGGAGTCTAGAGGAGACACAGTTGAGGGTTACTGATTGGTTCTCAGCGAATAAATTGAGTATGAATGAATCAAAAAATAGCACCCTAGTAATTTGAATTGCTACATAATGAGCCAGTTACGTTCCTGGGGGTGAGTATTGACGCAAAGTTGACATGGATTCCACATGTCAATAACATATGTGCCAAAGTGGCGTCAGGAGTCTATGCACTCAGAACAATGATGGAGAGTGTTTCCGAGCAAGCAGCACGGGCCATCTTTTTTGCTTGTGTCCAGTCAAAAATATCATATGGAATTCTGGTCTGGGGACATGCAGCAGAAGCGCAAAAAGTCTTTGCACTTCAGAGGAGGGCGATTCGAATATTGTGTCATAGAACTTATCAAGCGGAATGACTTTGTGAAATCAAAGGTATTCCTTATATGTCTATCATTGTCTGATTCATGTTAGGTGTAATGTCAATGATTACCAGACCCATGAGGACATACACCAACATCTCACCAGGAATAGGGACAACCTCTATACAAACTTTCATAGAATACATAAAATAAAAACGGGAATTTCCTTCTATGGCCTCAAATTCTATAATGTGTTACCAACCTCCATTAGAATGCTAAATTTGAATTGTTTCAAAAATAAAATTAAAAATTATTTAATTAAGAAAGCTTTTTTTAGTATAGAGGAATATACCACCAATAATTTTAATGATTTAGAGAGGATTGTTAGTTAGTAATATTGTTCGTAAAGGTTCCTGAAAATTGCTACTACTATATATTTGACTTGTGTACCTAAACTTTGTGAAGTAATGCACCAATAAATGAATGATACCTATTCTTCTATTGTTCTGACTTTCTAATTTCTGATAATTGTTTTCTTATTTTTTTTTCTGTACTTGCACCTAATAGGCACATGTAGTTTCTTCAAAATAACAAAGGAACTGTCTATAGAGTCCCGAATAACGCGGGATCGCTTGAAAAAAGCAAAATCCCGAAGAGGCGTGGCTTGATAACGGCGTTCGGGACTTGGGACTTTCCAAACATTATTCAAATCCCGACCTCGGGACTGTTGTAACATAAGTAAGCTCCCGACTTATAATTTTATCAGATAATTAATAGAAAAACAAATCTCGTGTAGGTATTCTTAGTAGGTAAACAAAATGGAAAAGAAATTTTGACGACATCATTTTGTAGATCTTTTCTTTTTCTTTTTAGCTGGCAGGCCTATCGCCGTTAAATTCTTGCTTGCCTCTAGGTCTGCCTCGACTTTTAATAGGGTTCTAAAATTTGTTTTCATTAAATTACAAATATACCTCTATGCCAAAAAATAAAAAAAAATTCAGAGGATTTTGCTCTTGCCGGTCGCTGTGTAGGTATTTTATGTCATATTTCTCCTTCGCTTTCTAACTGTTGATCTTGTTTTATCCTTGCTGCTCTGCTGCTGCTTGGCGCCTCATAAGTTTCAACAGGAGTGTTAGTAATTATTATCTCAGAATTTTTCAACTGCGGGTTTTATTCATCATAGTCCATGTGGATCTCATAAGTCTCGATAAGGGTATTAACGACAACTTGTTCATGATTAGGGATTATTTCATATTTTCATCTTATATCATCAGGTTATATTTAACTGTCTTGTATAAATTAGGGGCATGATAAAACACACAGCAGTTGGCTAATCTAACGTAGGTGTATAGGATAAACAAATAGTACATGAAAAATTATTACGAATTCGGGAGTTTACTTTTGTTACAATGGTCCCGAAGTCGGGATTAAATTATTTATGGAAAGTCCCGAACACAGTTATTTAAGCCACGCCTTTTCCGTTTTTCTAGCGATCCCGCGTTCGGGACTCTAGACAGTTCCAATAACAAATAGCTGACTTACTTGTGGGTTTTGATATACTGCCACAAAGCAGAAATAATAACTGGCCGGGTTTGCGTATGTACTCCCAGTAGCCTGGCAAGCCTAGGATCGAGTTTAAATTGCAAAGGCTGGTAATCCAAAAGCAGAAGTATCGTACATCGGACATTTTTATCACCTAGCCTCTTGACCTAAAAAAATAAATAATTTAAAGGATATAACATATAATGTATGATACATAAGTGAAAGAAGGAATAAAAGTAGCATAGACAAGAATGAAGTGGGAATGCTTTATCTTTATCTCTTAGGCAATCAAAGACAAAGAATGAATATTCACACATTATTTAGAATGAGCCGACCTTATAATAAATGAGAAAAAGAAGATGCGTTTCATCGTTGATGTGCTCAAGCCGTCAGATTACAACATCAATAAAGAAGAAGCAGAAAGAGATACTAAATATAGAGACATGAAGAAAGAGATTCAAAGAATGTGGGAAAAGAAGACTAAAAGAATTCCAATAATAATAGAAGCTATTGGAGTTGGATTATGTTTACCTGGAAACCATCTGTTTCTTGTGTTGTAAGTGGTCGGTGCCATTCAACTAAATGGTTATCAGGGCCGTAGAGCTCCTTATCCAATTCAATGACCAATGATTTGAAGAATGACGAAAATTTCCTTTTTACTTTATTCGGGTCATTTTTTGAATCATCCAGTAGCCTTCCCTCAACTGTCAGTTCCCAAGAAGCAACCAGTCTACACGTAAAAAAAGGACGAAGTCATAAAAGCCTTGAAAGCAAACATAGAAATGTTAATTACCTTTCTGCTCCAGGCCCGTTTGGTCCATCAGGACAGGGTTCTTTGGCAGGATAAAACGTGTTGGAAATAAATATCCTTAATTTGCGTTTTTGTTTCATGGGCCTTTTCAAAGCTTCTTGTATGTCTAGACGTTTACGCATTATTGTGGTGTCAAGTTTTCGTTCAAAAGCTAGTAAGTCCATGTATGCTTGACTCTCAGGAACCAATAAGTCTCGTGGGAGAATTTTGTCGGCTAGTTTCTTTTTCTTTTTACTAGTTATGTGACCATAGTCACTGAAAAAATAGGTAAGTGCATAAGTTTTTTATGCCACGGAAATTATCAATAACTCAATCAATAGAAAATCTTGGAAACATGGAAAATACTCATTAAAACAAACAGAAAATTCACCTTTTTTGTTGCATAGAATTACGGTTATCAGATGGTCGTTTCCCTCCAGCAGGTTGACTTTGCATCTGGCCTCTCATTGCATATAACAGAAATCTGTAATTGCAAAAAGAAAATGTATTATTGTAAAAATTGTTGAGTTGGCAACGTTGTATATAGAATGTCAGTTGACAGTTATATTCTAGAAGAGAAAATGAAAAATTGTTATAATAAATAGCACAACACTTTCCGCTTTTTACTACCCCACTGTTAAATAAAAACTCATCAGGTTATGGGCCCAGTTACCCAAGGAGTAGTAAAAATCAGTAAAAGCAAGGAAGTGTGTTTGTGACTGCAAAAGTAAAATCCTAACCTAAAGGGTTAAATTTTAAAAGTAAAAAAAGTGAAAAAGTATGGCAGATGAAACTTAGTAGGATAAACGTAGCTGCATAACATAGGTGGGGGTGCAACAAGCTGATTTCAGCGGAATTGTTTAGTAACCGACCTCCTATTTAACCTCTCAAAAGTCCCATTCAGTCTTAGGGGTGGAAGGTTGCAAAAAATGGCCGCCATTTTGGATTTTTTTGTTTTTTTCAAATATCTCAGTTTCTATTAGTTTTTTCAAGAAAACTCAAAAAACCTTTTTTGTGAAGAATTTAATTCTCTATAAAAAGTGTCTCTAGGTTTTTTTTGTAACATGAAGGATAACAGAGATATTGTTTTTTTTTAGAATTTGATTTATAAATTTTTCACTTTTGTTGAAGATCCAAAAAAGTGATCCACCAAAGTAAGTAGTATATTCGCTCCGTATAAATTGCAACTTTTTAGGGTCTCTATTGGTCATATTGATCGTGTGTGGAGTCATTTTGTTTGTGAAATTTTGATCTTTTCAACCATGTAAATTTTTTTCTAGACTTCATTCTTGGTGAGCCAACAAATCCAGTTTAATTACTGGGATTCAAATACGAATAGAAAAAAAAGATAAATCGTATTACTTATTAGCAGCACAAAAATTTGCAATCTCATTGGTCGGCCAGTTATCCGCCAACCAATAGAATAATAAAATAATAAATTTATCTTGCAGATAGTTACCAGCAAGTTTATGTGAAGATGAATAAAACGGGCCTAAGCCAAATAAACATTCTGTATTAAATTTTATTCCTACCATAATCAATCCTGATATGGATCTACCTGTGATAAGGCCTGCTTCCAAAAGGAAGACAAATATTAGCTTTTTGGCCATGTGACATTTGTCGCAAGGTTCTATGCAGAAATTGCTCTGGAGTAAGGTGCTCTGAGATTCGAGTTCTCATAGTGAAAGTACGCTGCCTGAGATATTTTTGTCCAAGCTGTATGGAGTGCTGTTTCCAAGCACTGCCGGGGTTGAGCTCAAGACTTCACGCATTCGAAGCAGATATGGAAAAGCTCAAAACCAACCAAAGAGTTGTGCTATTCAATCAGAATTGTATGTTATCGAGGATGATGTAGCAAAATTAGATAGAGGGTTTTCTCCTATTCCTGCCAATAGTTCTATTCCTTTCATACCTAGGAGGAGCTCTGGAACAGCTCTAGGGCTTCACGCACCAAGCATCTGTTTATCTGCAAATCGGGGACGACTGAACACCGTAGCCAGTAGCTCGAGTGTTTCAAACTCTTGAAAGGAGTACAACTATTGGCCAGCTCACTATAGATGGTATTAAAAACGGAATGGGCTGGAAGGCACCTGCAAAGTCATTCTGGATTCTAATAAGGAACTTGTTGCATTCATGTCAAAGTCCTATACACGCCTGGCAAGTAAACATCTTGCATATCAATTTTAATGCGATAAAATGAAATATCTAGAGAAAGTCTAAGGTTGAATAGAGAACGAAAACGATTTCCTCTATTCCACCTCTAGCATTCCCAGCGCTTTTTACTGGAGGTGGAACAGGGGAAATCGTTTTCGTTCTCTATTCAACCTTAGACTTTTTCTAAACATGGAATAAAAGTAAAGAAATGTTTGAAATATTTACTATAAAAAGCTCTGTATCTTCGTTATCCTTTATGTTACAAAAAAAAAGTACAGACACTTTTTATAAAGAATTAAATTTTTCACAAAAAAGGTTTCTTGAGTTTTCTTGAAAAAACTAATAGAAACTGAGATATTTGAAAAAAACAAAAAAATCCAAGATGGCGGCCATTTTTTGCAACCTTCCACCCCTAAGACTGAATGGGACTTTTAGGAGGTTAAATAAAAGGTCACTTACTAAACATTCCCGCTGGAATCAGCTTGTTGCTAATTTGTTGCACCCTGACCCCCCAGATTGACTCAGCTAACTGTACAAATAGAAAAACTGTGTAGTATGAGGACTCATACCAAATTTGGAATTTCCAATTAAATGTTGTTCTAAAAACCAGTGGTCTATACGAAGTCGTAAGTGGCCAAAGTCTCTTAGCAAATATGAGAGAGGCGAAGAAGAAAAAAGTGCATGGAAGAAAAAGGACGCTAAAGCCCAAAAATTGATAGTAATGTCAATCGATAAAAAGTGGATGTTGCACATAATAAACTGTGAAACTTCACAAAGTATGTATGACAAACAGGATAATAAGTAACACGCGGCTTGATAGTGAAGCAAAAAAAAAGCTGTATTTGTTTCGCCTTTTTTTACCCCAAACAGTCTTTTTATGATAATAAACAACATATCCCAAAAGGTTCTGCCACTACGTCGGCTGCCTGAGTGAAGGTGCTTATGAAAGCATTGTTGCCAAGTTGACGGGAAGATGAGAGGAAGCGACGATGAAAGCGAGGACGGAGATCCTTTTTGCAAAATATGTAAAAGGGATGTGGAAGAAAATGAACAAGGCCTGTTTTGTGAAGGAAAATGCCAATCCTGGTACCATATGCGGCTTGTGCTGGCATCAATTCACAACAATATAAAAAAATTTCAGGAGAAATATTAAAACTCTTAATATGGGTGTAAAAGACACTTAAAAAAGCTAATGGAAATGAAAACCTGCAATCTCAAAATTAAAAATCTTTGCGATAAGGTTGCAAGCTTTGAGGAAAAAGTCAATACCATGTCAGAAAATATGGAAAAAAAATTTGATAAGCCAACATATTCACGCGTGCTAAAGGAACATCAATCACCCGGGGGATCACCAGTAATAAGGCCAAATCTTCCGAACTTGATAATTAAACCAAAGAATAGGCAAGACATGTCAAAAACCAGAGAAGATATACAGAGGATAAAACCAGTGGATATGGGAGTTAGAATAAACAATAGAAAAGAACTCTCAAATGGAAAAATTCTTTTAAAATTTCCTACAGAAGGAGACATGAAAAAGATGAGGGACACAGCTACCCACTGTTGCCAGGTCAAAAAAATTAAATTCACCAGAAATTGAAATGAAAAATCACCAGATTTAAAAAATAATCACCAGAAATCTTGAAACTTGATTAAAATCCAATTTTGAGACTCAATTGCTCTAAAATTATTTACGTTATCCAACTGAATCTAGCACTGATTTATAGAAAATTTAATGCTCTTTCCAACCATATATAATTTATTTTGATTTGCTCGAAATTTAATGGAAGTATTGGCAATTGCTCCTAACCTTGTCAAGATTTACAAAAAAATTTAGATCTGAAAATTGAGATTTTCTTTTTGATTTTTTTTCTCCTTTGAAATCGAGATTTGCAAATGAAGTTAGAGTTTTTTTCAACTAGTTTAGATCCGCTCTATCGATTGAAAAAACAAAATTCAAAAAATCTGAAAAATAAAAATTTCGATTTTTTCAAAGGGTTAAACCCCTTTGGATTTTAATTTCAAAATTTTCAAACTCAATTTTCTCGAAACCCGTCAAAAATTTTGGATCAATTTTTTTTGAGATTGTAACCCTTGATGAGGGCTTCAAAATGGTACTTAGTTGAAGTCGCTGACATTTACGATTTTTGAGAAAATCGAGTTTGAAGTTTTTGACCAAATTTCAACTAAAATCCAACTTTGAGGCTCAATTGCTCTAAAAGTATTTGAGTTATCAACCTCAATCTAGCAGCGATTTATAGAGAATTTGATGCTCTTTCCAATCATATATAATTTATTTCAATTTGCTCAAAATTTAATAGAAGTATTGGCAATTCCTCCTAACCTTGTCAGGATTCAAAAAAAAATTTAAACCTAAAAATTGAGATTTTCTTTTTAATTTTTCTCTGTGTTGAAATCAAGATTTTGTAATGATGTTAGAGTTTTTTTCGACTAATTTAGACCCGCTCTATCGATTGGAAAAGTCAAAATTCAAAAAATCTGAAAAACAAAAATTTCGATTTTTTCAAAGGGTTAAACCCCTTTGGATTTTAATTTCAAAATTTTCAAACTCAATTTTCTCGAAACCCGTCAAAGATTTTGGATCAATTTTTTATGAGATTGTAGTCCTTGATGAAGGCTTCAAAATGGTACTTAGTTGACGTCGCTGACATTTACGGTTTTTTAGAAAATCGAGTTTGAAGTTTTTGACCAAATTTCAACTAAAATCTAACTTTGAGGCTCAATTGCTCTAGAGGTATTTGAGTTATTAAACTCAATCTAGCAGCGATTTATAGAGAATTTGATGCTCTTTCCAATCATATATAATTTATTTCAATTTGCTCAAAATTTAATAGAAGTATTGGCAATTCCTCCTAACCTTGTCAGGATTCAAAAAAAAATTTAAACCTAAAAATTGAGATTTTCTTTCTAATTTTTCTCTGTGTTGGAATCAAGATTTTGTAATGATGCTAGAGTTTTTTTCGACTAATTTAGACCCGCTCTATCGATTGGAAAAGTCAAAATTCAAAAAATCTGAAAAACAAAAATTTCGATTTTTTCAAAGGGTTAAACCCCTTTGGATTTTAATTTCAAAATTTTCAAACTCAATTTTCTCGAAACCCGTCAAAGATTTTGGATCAATTTTTTATGAGATTGTAGTCCTTGATGAAGGCTTCAAAATGGTACTTAGTTGACGTCGCTGACATTTACGGTTTTTTAGAAAATCGAGTTTGAAGTTTTTGACCAAATTTCAACTAAAATCTAACTTTGAGGCTCAATTGCTCTAGAGGTATTTGAGTTATTAAACTCAATCTAGCAGCGATTTATAGAGAATTTGATGCTCTTTCCAATCATATATAATTTATTTCAATTTGCTCAAAATTTAATAGAAGTATTGGCAATTCCTCCTAACCTTGTCAGGATTCAAAAAAAAATTTAAACCTAAAAATTGAGATTTTCTTTTTAATTTTTCTCTGTGTTGGAATCAAGATTTTGTAATGATGCTAGAGTTTTTTTCGACTAATTTAGACCCGCTCTATCGATTGGAAAAGTCAAAATTCAAAAAATCTGAAAAACAAAAATTTCGATTTTTTCAAAGGGTTAAACCCCTTTGGATTTTAATTTCAAAATTTTCAAACTCAATTTTCTCGAAACCCGTCAAAGATTTTGGATCAATTTTTTATGAGATTGTAGTCCTTGATGAAGGCTTCAAAATGGTACTTAGTTGACGTCGCTGACATTTACGGTTTTTTAGAAAATCGAGTTTGAAGTTTTTGACCAAATTTCAACTAAAATCTAACTTTGAGGCTCAATTGCTCTAGAGGTATTTGAGTTATTAAACTCAATCTAGCAGCGATTTATAGAGAATTTGATGCTCTTTCCAATCATATATAATTTATTTCAATTTGCTCAAAATTTAATAGAAGTATTGGCAATTCCTCCTAACCTTGTCAGGATTCAAAAAAAAATTTAAACCTAAAAATTGAGATTTTCTTTTTAATTTTTCTCTGTGTTGGAATCAAGATTTTGTAATGATGCTAGAGTTTTTTTCGACTAATTTAGACCCGCTCTATCGATTGGAAAAGTCAAAATTCAAAAAATCTGAAAAACAAAAATTTCGATTTTTTCAAAGGGTTAAACCCCTTTGGATTTTAATTTCAAAATTTTCAAACTCAATTTTCTCGAAACCCGTCAAAGATTTTGGATCAATTTTTTATGAGATTGTAGTCCTTGATGAAGGCTTCAAAATGGTACTTAGTTGACGTCGCTGACATTTACGGTTTTTTAGAAAATCGAGTTTGAAGTTTTTGACCAAATTTCAACTAAAATCTAACTTTGAGGCTCAATTGCTCTAGAGGTATTTGAGTTATTAAACTCAATCTAGCAGCGATTTATAGAGAATTTGATGCTCTTTCCAATCATATATAATTTATTTCAATTTGCTCAAAATTTAATAGAAGTATTGGCAATTCCTCCTAACCTTGTCAGGATTCAAAAAAAAATTTAAACCTAAAAATTGAGATTTTCTTTTTAATTTTTCTCTGTGTTGGAATCAAGATTTTGTAATGATGCTAGAGTTTTTTTCGACTAATTTAGACCCGCTCTATCGATTGGAAAAGTCAAAATTCAAAAAATCTGAAAAACAAAAATTTCGATTTTTTCAAAGGGTTAAACCCCTTTGGATTTTAATTTCAAAATTTTCAAACTCAATTTTCTCGAGATCCGTCAAAGATTTTGGATCAATTTTTTTTGAGATTGTAACCCTTGATGAGGGCTTCAAAATCGTACTTAGTTGAAGTCGCTGACATTTACGGTTTTTGAGAAAATCGAGTTTGAAGTTTTTGACCAAATTTCAACTAAAATCCCACTTTGAGGCTCAATTGCTCTAAAAGTATTCGAGTTATCAAACTCAATCTAGCAGCGATTTATAGAGAATTTGATGCTCTTTCCAATCATATATAATTTATTTCAATTTGCTCAAAATTTAATAGAAGTATTGGCAATTCCTCCTAACCTTGTCAGGATTCAAAAAAAAATTTAAACCTAAAAATTGAGATTTTCTTTTTAATTTTTCTCTGTGTTGAAATCAAGATTTTGTAATGATGTTAGAGTTTTTTTCGACTAATTTAGACCCGCTCTATCGTTTGGAAAAGTCAAAATTCAATAAATATGAACAATAAAAATTTCGAATTTTTCAAAGGGTTAGTTTGGGTTAGTTACCCCTTTGGATATTTATTTCAAAATATTTGATCTTGGATATCTTAAAATCTATTGAAGATTTTGAATTAAAATTTTCAGGAAATATAACTCTTGACAAGGGCTTTAAAATGGTATTTAGTTAAAATCGCTAGCTCTTATGGTTTTCAAGAAAATCGAGTTTGAAATTTTTAATAAAATTTGGACTAAAAGTTAACTTTGAGATCCAATTGCCCAGAAAGTATTTGAGTTATGAGAACCAATTTAGCATGGATTTATAGAGAATTTAATGCTCTTTCCAACCATATATAATTTGTTTTGATGTGTTCAAATTTCTTTGAAGATACTGGGCATTATTCCTAATCTTGTCAAGATTTGAAAAAATTTCCAGAACGCTTTTAGCTTTTTGAAATCGCCATTTTGGAAGTGATGTTAGAATTTTTTTCGACTATTCAAACCCGCTGAATCAATTGGAAAAGTCAAAATTTAGAAAAAATTAAAAATAAAAATTTCGAGTTTCCGATTGGTTTGACTGAAACCCCCCCATAAGCAACGCCACTGGCCAAACAAAATACATGTTGCCAACTTGAAAAATAACCGGCCAATAGCAACAAGAGCCTGGAATAAACAGAAATTGAAATATAAAAAGGGAAACATATATAAATATATCAAAAGAACAAATACAAATTTATATAAAAATCAAAGGACCTCACACACACGACTTATGGGTATTTGGTTTACTGTCAAACTAATGAAATTTGTATGTGAAGTAAAATTTCAATAAATTACGAGGGATGTTTATAAAGTGCATCTTTAGGGGTTTAACCCTTTGAAAAAATATTCAAAATTAATGAAATTTCAAAATCACCAGAAATTGCCATTTTTCAAAAAGT